AAAAGCTAGAAGGCCAATCAAAGCTAGAAGCTCGAGCCGTAACGCGATTCGGGGACTAATTCCAAAACCAGTCTACGCGATCGGGAGCAATGACAAAAAAAAGGTACATAAGTAATAAAGCTTTAAAATTCTTCTAATATTACATACGAAAAAACATTCTCCACCTACAGGCACGTCCTACGTGCGCCGGGAACAAAGTTACAAAATGGTGGAACCTATATTTTACGCCAAAGGACTACAGCTCGTCAAGTTCGACCTCCGCAACGTCCGAAAGGTGTGACCGAGTGTCACCCTCATCCGCCCTTGCTCGAGCCAATTCCTCCGAGAGAATGAAGCCTCTCGCTTTAACCTCCTCGAATACCTTTCTCCGGGATTGGGGCGAACATATTCCTCGATCCTCTTCTCACGGTCAAGGGCTCGCCTCAACTCGGATTAAGCATCAGCAGCATCCTTTATGATAATCTCCATTTCACGATCAGCCCTGGTTCGGCTTAATGCCGCTTTCGCCCGGGTATCGGCTATCTCAGCCCTGACCTTCGAGAGATCAGACTCAAGTCTCTCGATTGTATCCGCCTGAACTTTGGCATTGTCACGGGTCAAGTTGAGCTAGACCTCGAAGGCAGGGATCCTAGCCGAGGCACTCATCTCCTCCAGAGCTTGAGCCTGCACTTGAGCTCTTAGCTCATCACAAGCGGCCCTAACGCGGTTGACGTCGCCTTTAAGGTACTCCAAGGCCTCTGTATTTTTCTGCAACTGATATGGCGAGAAGAAATTAGCCTTATAATTAGAAAAAAGTGAAGCACACGCTACAGGATGTTACCTGCTCCATCAAATAGCTCTAGTAGTTTGAGCCCTGGTATGCCTCATATCGCCAATACTGCAGCTCACCTTCCTTCTCCTTGCAAAGGAGCCTACGGGATTCTCCCTCATCCAGAATCCTCTGAAACTTGGCCTTTTGGCAAAACAGCTCGAACTTAAGCCTATCGCAGGCCTGCGCAGGGAAGATCCAATGAGAGGAGGAAGATGCGGGATACAAAGAAAACTGTGCACAAACTCACCACGAAATGAAGACGGCGGGTTTCTCCTAGATCAGAACATGTTCTTGTTAGTCCTGCCCCGACGACCCCAGAAGAACCGGCCCGGGCACAATGTGCTCACTCAAAGGAGTCATTTGCCAGGAAACATGCGCTCCAGGAACAGCAGAATCGGGCGGTGCCCTGTCCATAAAAATGCGAGCCCGGCCAGCACTACTAAAGTCTCCTTTGCATGGTGGGCTCCGGTCCCTCTTATTACTGCCATCTCTCGGCCTGGAGACCGACGACTCCATCTCCTCTCCAGAAAAGCGCTGCCTCACCCCAAGGAACCGCCCGATATCTGCAAACAGCGAATCCAATACAAATAAGATGGGAAAATGTTACCTCGAGTATACGCCAGCAGGAGAAAAGCAACATACACACGCACCTTGATGTTCCGCCCCGCACTTGATGCAAGACATAGCTCTCCACCTGCGTTCATCGCGAGACGAATGGGTTACCAACCTCCGAACCCATCCTGGCAAATCATGGACTTGGCCTGGCGTCCACGAAGTTGCTGCAACAAGGGAAATAGCATTATTATTTGGCCGATTTTCGCCATGAACAAAATTTGAAAGAGCGGCAAAGCGCTTCACTTACGTGCGTGATTCCACCCGTCGGGGAATGGCAGAAACTCCACAAGAATAATATCAGTCGTACGGACTCGGACGAACCAATTGGCCCATTCTCGATCTCCACCCTCCTTATCATCGACAACGAGGGTCGTGGGCGAACGACCCCTCAAGGTTAGCAGGCCTCGATGATGAAAAGGCCGATATAGCATGATGAGATGATCAAGTGTGAACTCAAGCCCGTCTTTCTCCGCAAAAAATCTCCTCATCAGCACTGTTCGCCAAAACGACGGATGAATATGCGCCAGAGTAACCCGATACTTCTAACAAAAGTGAAGCACAACCCTATCAGGGGGGCCAAATGCAAAAGGGTATAGGTGCACACTCAAGAACCCATCAGCAGAGTCTGTGATGCCTTCACCTGGGGAAAACACCTGCAGTGTCACCCCCTCGCTCCACCCGCAGAATCGCCTCGCCATCTCCAGGTGTTCCTCTCTTATCAAGGACACCATCTCTAGAGAAAAATCCTTCGACTCCGATCACCGGGAACATCATTCTCCGCCTTTTGCCATGCCAGTCCCGAAGTGGTCACCATGATTGTGGCAGAACTGACAAAATAAAGCAAAGGCAAGCACCAACGCTTTTCGCACTTTAAAAAATAGGGAGCCCTATGCCGAAACAGAAGAAAAGCTACCCAAAAGTAATGAAGTCTCGCAAAAAGGCCGTAGCCACCCCTCTTATATGCAAGGGGAAACGACGAGTCGCCTGCTCGAGGAAGCTCCAGGAAGCCAATGGCCTCGATATGAATCGACAGGTCGGTACCCGACCGAAGGAACATCCTCCAATAGACGACAAGACTCGAGGGACCACGTGAATTATCTCCATGCTCGAGGCAGCATTTCGCATTGGGAGCCCCCGGCCCCAAGAAAAAGGGTCACGATGAGCTCCAAAACCCCGGTACTAGACACAAGGCGAGCGCCCGAGCTTGCGATCCCCTCTCTAGAGGAGTAAACCCCGGAAGTGCCGATCACCAAAGCTCAACAAGGGCCCAAAGAAGCGTCCAAACATAAGCAAGCTCCTCAAACGGAAGCCAACCTTATGCTCTCTAAAAGAGTTGTCTACATCAAAATCAACAGGGCCCACCGGGGCACCCGAAGATGACCTTCATCCAGGGTAGCATTCCCAAAGGCCCCGAAATTCGACGCGCGATCTCCAAACAAATTAGCAGGCCCCAATTGCTCGACCTTATCTGGTCGGTCCTCCATCGGTCTGAAATATGACAAAAGGGGTCGGGGAAGAGCCTCGTCAATCAGTTGGAGACCAGGACAAGATATCATGGCAGACTACGACGGCCAATAAACAAAAAGAAGGCATTCAAAAACCCTGAAGGGCGTAAGAGCATACAAACGTCAGAAGAAACCTAATAGGCTTGCTCAGTCGGGCTTTCTCGGTTGAGCGCCGGTCACGCCCCTTGGCTTTGGGGCGTGAAAATGAATGTGCTTCGCAAGAGGGACCTGGTCCATGTCTGAGTTCTTTTGTCAATCTTCAAAACTTCACTTGTTCTTGGGCCAACAAATTTCCCCTTTTTGATGATGACAAACTCTGTGCTTTTTACTTACTTGGATCCTGTGAGAACTCAGCTTAACCATCAATACAAAGTTTAGAAAATTCACTTATCATCAAGAACCAGGTTAATTAGGTTATATATATCACTTATTCAGAATGTGTAAAGCACAATATCTCTTCCCCCTTTTGGCATCATCGAAAAGTTGCATACAAAATGTGAGTCACAGATTTTAGTGAGTACTCATGGCCACTGGGGCAACTGCAATGCAATCATGGTTTAATCATCATTAATCAAGCAAACATATTTAAACTATCAAGGAAAGATTAACTTTGAACAAGAGAAAAAATAGTAGATATCATTGATAGAAGATATGTTGCTACCACAATCCACAACCAGAAAGCAAAAAACATTTAAAACATGAGCAAAAAATAGAAAAATCCCTAATCCGGGTTACTGAAGGCACTAGACAGGTTCAGGAGACAGAAGCTAGAATTCCTAAGGCTTGGGGGAGCTAGAGGGTTGGTTTTGGGCTTGGAGAAGATTCAGCATATTGTGAAGAATTCAATCATTCTTCTCCTTTTCCTTGGTAAGCTCAGTTTTGAGGGCATCCCTCTCATATTCCACCTCTGCCACACGAGCCTTGAGCCTAGCTATCTCTGCATCCTTGGCTTCACATTCCTGAACTAGAGCCCTGACTTTACTGTTGATAGGAGTCTTCTTGGATGAACCGGGTTCATTTGAGATGGCATTGACTAAAGAGTCACAAGCAATCAGAGTATTAATGCCAAAGTGATCCTTGCTTGAGGCCATTTCCCATTACTTCAGAGGCACATTGCACCTATCCAGAATCGTAGTCAGAATAATGCCATAGGGTGTAGCATAAGCCTTGGAGCCATTGATGACCATGTGCAGTAGCTTGGTGATGAATGCAGGCCAATTAATTTGCCTTCCACTTTCCAGGCACTCCATAAGAACTAGGTCCATATAATTTGCAATATGCCTTCTCTCATGTCTGGGCAATAGGCACTTGTTGACAAATTCAAACAAGAATTTGTGTTGTCGCCTCATTTCACTTTTCTGAACAGCCCTAGCCTCATTCACATCTTCAGCATCACAAAACCTCCTGGTAATTTCAAGGGCAGTAGGAAGGGAGTCCAGACAAGGCCACCTTTGCCTTGTATAGTCATCAAACCCTTCAGAGGGTATGTCAAGGTTCTCTCCCAGTTTTTCTGCATCAAAGGTCACTTGAACTCCTTTCACCAGGCTGCTAGCCTTGCCACCCTTAACCTCTTCATTTGCCATAAACTCAATGATCTCATTCTTGGCTAGCGTTCCATCCATCTGAAGGACCATGTCCTTCCACCCCTAAGCAGCTAAGGCATCCACCAGTCTCATCATTCCTAGTTCCACCAGGTCTTTCAGCAATCTACCCTTCAAAAAATTTCTTTTGCCAAACATGGCAAGCTTGTCTTGTTCACCATCAGACTTATCTTCTTCTTCTTCTCCACTCCATTCCTCATCTTTAGAAATTCTTACTTGTTTAATTTTCATTGCAGACCTTGTCCTCTTGGTTAATGAAGGTTCAGCAGCCTCAGACACAGAAGAAGTCTTGTGCTTTTTGGGCTTGGGGGTCTGAACCTCCACTGTTGGAACTTCCTCCTGATGGACCTGTTCCATCTCCTCAACTTCCACAGCCTCTGAGGACTCTGCTACCTTCCCTTTTCCTTTAGCCATCCTTTTTTTCCTTACTCTTAACTAGAGCCTTTTGTAGATCACTCTCACTCTGTTTCACCCTGCTTCTTGTGGCTCTTCCCCTAGGCAAGAAGTTTCAGTAGTTGTTGGGGATGAAGCCTTTCTTTTCATAGAGGGTTTAGCAGCACTGGGGGATTTTGGTGTGGGAGTTCGTCTTTTCTTTGGATCATAACTTGTCCCAACCTTTTTCAATAAATCTGTTAGGGTCTCTTCAGTTGATAAACCAGGTTCATCTCCTTGTGCGCTTAGATTAACTAACCCTTCAGCAGCTTCACCAGAACCACTTCCCCCTGACTTTTTGCCACTCTCTTCTACATTTTCTTGTTTAGCCCCACAGATAGCAGGCACAGACAAACCAGCAGTGGGTGAATGATCAACCACTCTTTTCCCATTTCCCCTGTCTTCACCACATGCACCCTCTCTCTCTCTCTTTTCTTTTTTAGATTTCTTTTTTTCTCCACTCCTTCGTAACTCAGATAATTCTACATCCCTGATAGGCCCAACCAGAACAAACCTAGTTTCTAGATTTTCAGTCAAAAAAGAACTTACCTTAGAAGGGGATTCTTGATTCTTCTCAAAGTCAGAAGACCCAGGTCTTTCCCCCTCACTAGCCGATTTTTATGACTCAGAATTAGAGTTGGAGTCAGATTTTTGGACCTGGCTTGCCTTTAATTTCTCATTTAATTTCTTTGAGAGAGCCCCAGACGCTACTGTTTTCCAAGCAAGCATTTTCACCCTTCTCAGCCTGGGTTTGGGAGATGTGCTAGGTGGAGGAGGGGTAGCTGAATTAGAGGGAGTGGGTGGTGGAGGAGTTCTAGGATTGTCTTGTGGGTTTGTCATGATCGTTGGTCTCTTGAGTTAATTGGTGAGTTAGAATTTTGGAGAAGAGGCAAGTGAAAGTGAAGAGGGATTTTTGACGGTTTGGGATTATGAAGATGGCAGGAGGTAATGATGTGTATTTAAAGAGAAATACATATTTAAGGTATAACGACAGCTTTAGCAGTGGTCAATTAGAGGTCTAATCAACCTGAAATTTCATGTTTGAATGAACGGTTAGGCTTCCCTAGATTTTATGCAATTTTTGTGGTTTAGAGTTCTAAGGCTGACGGAACCGGTTCAAAACTAACGAATAGAATTTTCTAAGGAGTTGATCAATTGTAGGACTTTTTCTCATGATTTAAATATTTATATTTCTAATTGTGCAGAGTATAGAAAACATACTTTAGCATTCAGATGAACCCATTGTGAGCACGTGATTTTTTTCCTATATGAATTACTCCCACGAATTCAAAACAATTTTTTTCCACTGTTCGGAATTTTGTGGATTTTTGTGACATTTTCTATCAATTGTTTGCATTTGTCTGTGCATGTTTAATTTTTATTTAATTCATAAAAATACAAAAATATGTTGCATTTGCATTTGGGATCCAATTTTTATGTTTTTAGGATAATTAGTTAATTAGTGTTACAAAATTGAAAAAAATCACAAAAATAGTTCATTTTGCATTTTTAACTTTTTTATTTTTGGAGTTGCTATAGTTTTCTCTTAAGTTAGGACTTAATTAATTTTTAAGAAGCAATTCGTTTATTAATTTAGTTTTAGAATTAACTCAGGTTTTATTTTTAATTTGGAAATTAATAAAAAAATAATAAAAAATCTGAAAATAAAAAAAAAGAAGAAAGGAAGAGCTTTTAATAAAAGAGACCATTTTTTGGGCCAGCCCAGACCTTCAGACCCGTCCAACCCTTCCATACCCGGCCCAAGATCCATCAAAAAACCGGTCCATAACCCCCTCTAACCAAACAACCCCGTTTTGGGCATATTTAATCGCGACCGTTGGATCTCCCTAATCCAACGGTCCGGAACTGGGATGTCTATTAATATAAATATGTCCAAACGCCCCAACCCCCCCCCCCCACTCATCGTCTCACAACCACCCTCAGAGAACCCAACATAACGCCACCCTTGGGCCACCGTCCGCCGCCCGCCAGAAATCGCCCACGGCAGCGGCCGGCGGCCATTCGTGCCCAAAATTACACTACCACCTCTCCTTGACCCGCTCTTCCCAAATATACAAACACATTCCCTCAAATCCGGCTAGAATTCCTCAAATATCCGATCAAAACTCCAAACCCTAGCCAGCCGCCTTAGAACCACGATTTTTCCGGTGGCGGCGCCACCACAAAACGACCCCAAATTAACACCAAATGACCACCAGGCCTCCCTCATTCCAAATCCATCATTCCCTGCCATCGAATATCCCCAGAACCCGTCAAATATTAATTTGAAGTCGAGGTTTTAAAGTGTCAAAGTCAGGAGTCGGGCCGATTAGGATAAAAATGGACCTTGGTCATGTGTTTTCATTTGAGAACACATGATCGAGGCCCCTTTTGGTTAGAATCATGAATTTAATGAAGAATTGCAAGGTTGGCTCTCCTTTTAGGTATTTCCTTTCATTTTTCTGGTTTTGCATGTTTTCCTTTTTCATTTTTGATTTCATTTTTATTATTTTGTTGATGCACCTGTTCATCGTCTCTTCATCTGTTTCATCAAAATTGCCTATGCATGTGTTCTTTTATCCAGGCTAGTCGTAAACTGGCCTTTCCTTTAATTTGTTTTAGTTTGTTTGGTTGTCTTTTAATTCCGGTCTAAAGGGACTAGTTAATTCAGAGGTATTCTTTGATTTCAAAGTATTTTGGTCATTTTTTTTAAAGGTTTGCGCAAAAATTCTGTCATTTGTTTGGTTTTGGGCTTTGAAATCCAGACTCGTTTTGAAAACCCAAAGAAAGGGGTTAATCTAATTTGGTTAAAGGCCCATGTCTGGTTTGCCTTGGGTCAATTTGACCCAGGTTGGTCTGTCATGGTTGTTAGGGTAATTAATAGAACCATAAAGGGTATTTTGGGTAACTGGTTTAGGGGAATCTTGCTACAACTGACTAGGAAGCTTCCAGGAAAGGGCAAAGGGGGTATTTCAGTAATTAGGGTTTAAACCTAGGGTGTGATATGAACAAAAAGAAAATTGAGGAAGGGGTAATTGGCAAACTAGGAACTCACTTCTGCAGCCCTAGGGTCCTCTATGTAAGGCTGTCTTAGTAAAAATGATAGGGGGGACCAGATCTAGAGAATTAAAAACGGCTGAAAATTCCAATACAATTACTGTTCTATTGCATTTCATCTATGATTTTTAAGGTCTTCAATTTCTGAAACAAATTCTGATTCACCTGGGGTTGGAAATGGATTGAGTTTGGTTTAAAAGTTTGGTTCAAAGTATGCTGCTCTTGTTCGATTCAAACTGTTTTCTTTTGGATTACTGCAAATCATTTCTGGGTTGGAAGCTGATTGCACCGGTTATTTCTGCTGCTGCCTTATACTAAATTACTGCTGATCCTTCACCTTCTGTTTCTTTCCATCTCCAGGTACCCTTTCTGAAACTATGGTTGGAGATTGAGTTTGGTTGTTGAGTCTTATGTAAAGGTTTATGAACCAAATTGAAGTTGAATGAAACACAGTAATTTTATATTGTGATTGTTGATGCCTTTGCCATATTCCTTTCCCTGATTTATTCTAGCTTGCTTTGGATGTCCCATTCATATGCACTTAGTATTAGATGTTGGATTTGAATTAGTTTGAATGTAAGAGGTTCAAAAGTGCTTTAGATGAAACTTGTAATAATTAAGGACTCTGATGTTGTAGTTAGATTACTGGAAATTATTTGGTCTTTTTTTTGTGTTTGTTATAGTAATCAGTTAATGTATGTTCACCCAGAATAATTGGTCTCATGAATCTAGTGTCACTTTGTTTTCCTAGTAATTCTGCTCAAGTTTGCATCCATATGGTCTGAGACATGGTTCTGTGTTTTTCATAATCTATCACTGGTTCTCCTTTCATGTGAGTTTTGAGTTCTTTTTCAGATTTCTGAAAAGGAGTTTTAAAGTGGAGTGAATCTGATTTTAGACTTGGCAAGTCCCAGGCCTAAGCTTGGTTTTACTTCATTTTCTTTAAGAATTGTGAACCATGTATGATCTAGCTAAACTTATTCGTTGGAGTCAGACATTGCATAAGTTTATGATTGTTGAGTTTTGATATCAAAAGGTGCGAATGTTCTGTAATTTGGATGTCGGAGCTCAGTAGTTCACAACGTGAAAAGTTATGAGAACTATGGTTATATTTCATTACTGTTCGAGCAGGTTTTCTTTATTTTTGTTCATAGGTTTGTCATCTTTCGTTGGTTTAAAGTTCTAGCAAAAATTTGTTTGTTTCTTTTAATCCATAGACAATAATAGTTTTCCTGTTTCTTGGCTAATTGTCTTAAAATAATTTAGTTATATTCAGTGGTGTAGTTTTATAAGAAAGTTAGTTCAGAATTATCAAAACGTGATTCTCTCATTGTCATTATTTGCTTAATACAATTTAAAGAAGGAAAAATCCATGCTAGAGTAACTCAAGGTGCAAAAGGCAGTAGTGTATAAGGGAATTGGGCCATACGAACCGTTTTGTGTCATGAAACAATTTTGATGTTAAGGAAGAACGGGCCATGAAATTGTCTGACTTTAAAACTAGAAAGTCGGGCCTTTAGGAATCTTTGGATCAGATATTTTAAGGACTATGGCCCATGATCATAAATTCATAAGCTAGCTTATATAGAAATTTGAGGTGCGCCACCCAATAAAATTAGACAACCAGTGGCCCTCGCTTAATTAATCTTGTTCAACCCTTAGAATTCGAGGCGTGCTATTGTGAATTTTTCATGGCCCTCGCAAAGTTGCAAGTGCGTAGTTGCTTTAGGCGCGCTATTTTAAAAGTTACCTTCCTAAACTCGGGTGTGCATTTATGTAACCCAAATCCGAATTTCAACAACGTTAGATAAAATATGTCGTGGACCGCGGGTGCATTTATGTGATGTGGTTCAAGACGTATTTTAGATGACGTTGAATCTTTCCAAAAAAATAATTAAATAAAAGCGGTTATAGGTTTAAAATTGCACCATAGGCTAAAACATGAACCAAAATCAAATAAATAGGCCAACAATAACAGTTGAGCGACCGTGCTAGAACCATGGAACTCGGGAATTCCTAACAGCTTCTCCTGGGTTAACAGAATTCCTTACCCGGATTTATGGTTCGCGGACTGTAATACAGAGTCAATCTTTCCTCGATTCGCGATTTGTACCGGTGACTTGGGACACCATAATTATCCCAAGTGGCGACTCTGAATTTTAATAAAAAATGATACCGTTTTCAATTGTCACTTTAAGTTGGAAAAAAATCCCTTTATACCCCCTTCCGGGGTGTAGGTAAAAAAGGAGGTGTGACAGCTCTGGCAACTCTGCTGGGGACGAGAACCCAGAACTTTTGGTTCAGGGTTCAGAATTCGAGCTTAGATGAATTGTTATATTTGGCTTTATTTATTATCTGATTTTGTTACATGTTTGGGCCTAATGTGCTAAATGTTATTTTTACCGCTTTGATATTCTGTGAACTGTATATAAACAGCTACGAAACCCTTCCTCTCTCTAAGTCTTCTAAATCATGGTGAAGGGTGCACTTCGTGTGACTTCTCTTCTGCCTAGAGTCTTATCCCATTTTAGAACGAGGTTCGGACAAGTTGCAAAGCCGGTGAAGCTTCTGTATTCCCGGTACGCTGCCCCCCTCGGCTCGAGTTGTCCGCTCGAGTAAGCCAGGTCTAGAACAATACACCCAGGTTTTAAATCTAGAATAACTCAGCCTCATGCCTGATCCCTAGTAGGAACTCTTATCTGCATCATGTGCATTTGACTTTGGAGACTCAACACAGGGGTTGGGTCTATCTAGGACAGGTGTTCCCGAAATAACAGACCATCTTGATACATCCTATGTGCTACATGTTGCATTTCTTCAAGGTTAAAAGGGTGATTTGGCGGACCAATGAGAGTTGAGGGCAAATGGAAAGAAATAAGAAAAAAAAAAGAAAAAAGAAAAAAAAAAAGAGAAGAGAGGGTGAAGTGTGAAAAATAAAGGTGTGGTTCTCATACAGGTGTGGATTTACTTATCGGAGTTTAAGCATGACATACACCCCAGGATCACTGCATTCAGGAGCTGCTCGAGGAGCCATTTTATGTTTTTGAGTCAATTGTTCATGTTTTACTTTTTAGTCTTGTATAGTGGCATTCAGTCTTTTAGGTGATGTCAGAGTTTGTAATAGTCTAGTTGAGTTTGTCTAGTCTTTTGTTATTGTATTTCTTATTTGTATTTGGAGATGTGTTACAAGGGAAAAAATCCAAAAAAAAGAGAGAGAAATTTTGCGATTTTATATTTTCGTTATAGGTTTTCTTTAGAATACTAATTTTAGAAATAAAAAAAATCCTTTGAAGTGGTTTTTTCCTTTAGGCAATTAATATCAAAATAAAAATTGCTTTTATATTTCCTTTAGTATATTAAGACTAAAAATTCAAAAAAAAAAAATCTTTTAGTATCTCTTTAAAAAGTTTTCTTTAAGGTATTAATTTCAAAAATCCAAAAAGATTTTCTTTTGAGGTTCTTCTCTGGGAAACTAATGAAAAATGATTTCCTGCCTAAAAAACCAAAAATCCTTTTATTAGAACTTTAGGACATTGTACATAGAAGAAAAGAAAACAACATGATTTCCTGCCTAAAAAAAAGGGTCAAAAAAAATATTTTTCTCTTTGGGGATTTTGCCTTAATAGAGAATTTGTGTCAAAAGGAAAAAGAAATCCATTAAGCTCGAGTTTAGAATAGGTTATAGAACATTCAGTCTAATTCCAAAAAAAAAAGATTTGCTTCTTTTGTTTCTTTTTCTTATCAGAGTAGTCATTAAGGTAAAAGAAAAAAAAAGGAAAAGAAAAAGAAAATGAGAATGCCAGTTTGTTTCCTTTATTCCTGATCTCCCAGAACTACGTGAAGATCTGATTCATGCGAGGTCCTGATATGTAGGCAACCTACATAGGGTTCGATCGAATCATTTTATTTAATTATTAAAAGAAGAGAAAGAGAACAAAAAAAGAAGAAAAAAAAGAGGGTGAAATTATGGTATGTGAGAAATGCGAAGGAAGAAAAAGAGCGATAATCAGAAAGGAAATGGGGAAAGAAAATGAGCGAGCTAAGAGGTGCGAGGAAAGAAAAGAAAATAGAAGATTCAGATGGACAAATTGGGATGATGCCAACTGACCTTTGTACCCTCGAAGTCATTTTAGAACCGATAACTGTGGCTAGGTGCATTGCACGTAAAGTGAGATTATCTTATGTTAAATGCCCTAACGCTAACGTGATGGCTTCATTTTGTAATACTCATAGCAGAAGGGTGGTTGGTTTGTGGTTTTTGAAGTGGTAACTCTTCTCTACAATATAAAGTCAAAAGGCAATGGCAGACAACAACAGAACTGAGTTGGTTGATACGGGTGCCCAAAAGCAATTGTTTGAACAGGACAATAGGTTGGTTGAACAGGTGAAGATGTTAAGACAACACATGGCAGACATGTATCGGCTTGGATGATTGGGAAGGCACCACCCCCGCCACCACCTAGCTTCCTAGATGCTGCCCTTACCCAAACTCCGGTCGTAGTGCCGGATGGTTCCCCATACTCTCCAGATCCACCCGTTTATCACAGCTTTCCCAACCACACTAGCAGCTCCATCACTCATCCTCCAATTACCTCTCCCCAAAAGTGCCCTCCTGTTGTATCCACTATTCCCGACAATGGACACCTACTCAAAGCTCATGATGCCCAATATTACCCCTCAGAGGTTGCCCACAAGGTCCCTAACTCATACAAGCAGGGTCCGCGGGATGAGCTTCATGTTGAAAATGAAAAGTTCATAGGAAGAGAAGGGCGAGAGGGGATACCCAAGAGGTTGAAAGGCATAGAACAGTCCTTAAAGAACAAGCAAGGAATGGGAGACCAAGTTAACATGTCTTACAAAGAGTTGGGTACGTTCCCTGACGTTCGCCTGCCTGCGGGGTTTAAAGTGCCAAAGTTTAACTTGAATGATGGGGGTGGAGATCTGGTAGCCCTCCTGAGGGTCTATTGCAGTGAAATGAGAAGTGTTGGAGTGAAAGATGACTTGTTGATGGCATATTTCAGTAAGAGCTTGACTGGGGCAGCTTTGGAATGGCATAATCGTCAAGATGTCGCGAAGTGGCTTACATTGGGCAACATGGCTCAAGATTTCGTGCGACGCTTTCAGTGCAATATAGACATTGTCCCAAACCACTCCTCCCTATCTCAGATGGAAAAGAAACCCAAGGAAAGTTTTAAGGATTTTTGGCTCAGATGGAATGAACAAGTTGCTCGGGATAGCCCTGCCATTGATAGAAAAGGTGTTGCTGAGCCCCGCCGACGACAGGGTCCAGTAGTCGTTCTTGCTAAACGCTTTCAGCCTCAATACCGACCCCGTGAACATCCCCAAACTCCACATAAGCCACCCCAGTATTATTCGCCGAACAACATCCGGCCATCTGTCCAACCACCAGGTCACTCCCTAGGGCGAGCACTAGCATCCCAAAATTCTCGTGTGCCTTCACAGCATTTTCAAGCATCCAACAATCCTAGAAAACTGAGGCATGGAAGGAAACAAAGGCAAAAAGATAATTTTACACCCATCGGAGAACCCTACACAAGTTTGTTCGAAAAGTTAAAGCATTCTAGCCTGATTGAGCCGCTCCTCGGCTATACTCCAGATCCATATGCGAAAGGCTTTGATCCTGCTGTTCGATACATGTACCACTCTAATGTCCAAGGGCATAGCATTGAAGATTGTCGCTCTTTGAAAAGGGAAATAGAAAGAATGATTCAAGAAGGGGTAGTTGTGGTCAGTGACAATGACAGGGAGCATGCGAATCCTCTTGGGAACTTGTTGATTAAAGTTGATAATGTTGAAGTTGGTAATGGTCTTGGCAATATTAATGCGAAAGTCAGTGGCTAAGATGCCGTGCTTGGTAATCAGAAAGACGCTCTTTTCTTGGTTAGCCAGGGAGGAGTTTTGGTGGTTTATTTTGTTGTCATTTCTGTTGTCCGGGTTATTTCAGGGTTGTAATCCGGATATTGTCTTGTGACTCAAACCCTTCTATCTTTTTCTTTTGCCTAGTTCCTTTAGTCGTAGTAACTCATTTAGTGTTACCTAGTTTTGTTTCAGGGTGTACCCCAGTTTGTTTTACTTGTTTTGTTATTCGAACCGTTTCACCGTCTATCTAATGCAATTTCCTGTCTTTTGTTATTTCCAGTCATTTTCTTTGTTTAGGTCTTTTCTATCCTTTCATTTTGTCTTTTGTCTAATGCTGGTTCTAGTGACATGACATACATGAAAAATTCTAGGCCTGGTCTTAAAAGTCAGTCTAGTCATAAAGCAATGGAACAATTTTGATGATGATGGGGACATTTGAGGGAAATAAGTAAAGGCATCTTGAGATCACTTCAAGCCCAAACTGTGTGAAACTGGGGCAGATAGAACATAAAGAAACCCTATTGAAATGCATCATAATAGCAAGTTTTCCCAAATTGACAGGAGTCGTTCGTGGTAATGAGAGTGAGGTTGTTGTCCAATGGTGCTTTGTATTCAACAGATGTAGAAGGCGAATATGTGGATATGGTTATCAAGTCTGGTACGATCAAAAGATGTTACAAATGTTTTCCTTGGTTTGTTTAATTGTGTTGTTTGTACTTGGCATGTTTTGGAGATTGGAATGACAAAGACATTTTGTTCTGCTATCTAAACACTTTATCCTTCGTTACCCCTTTGAGCCTTATTTATTTTCTTTCACACCCCTCTTTCGGAATCTGCAGCAAAGATCAGAAACACAAGCGTGAAAGATAAGTAAATGAAAAAAAGAAAAGAAAAAGAATGAAAAGAGAGAGAGAAGAAAAAAGGAAGAAGAAAAAAAAAGAAAAATAAAAAAAACAAAACAACAAAAAGAGAAAAGGAAGAAAGAAAAGGAAAGAAGAGAAAGAGGAAGAAAAAGAAAAGAAAAATCACAACAACAAAGTAATTTCTATGACATGAACAATGTTCGACCTGATTCCTTTTAAGGATACGTAGGCAGCCTCACGGTTCGATCCCATCAAAGTAAAAATCCAAAAGTACCCTAGCAAAGAAACTGGGGCAGAAGTTGTGATTGTTGTAAGAAATCTGATTTGAAAGTTGTAATTTTGAACCCATTTGAATTGTTTTGAGCCTTTGATACCCTTTCTTTCTAACCCTATCCAAAAAGCCCACGTTACAGTCCAAAGAAAGACCTTCTGATCAGTCTTCGAGAGATGCCAAGTCAAGCTAGTAGAGGTGATCCATATCAAGGGCAACACTCCATTCTGAACAAAGAAATGAAAATGAGAGAGTCTTATTGGTGAAAACCTCACGGGCACCGTAAGGCGACGGGAGCTGAGAGAAATCAAAATGAGAGAGTCTTATTGGTGAAAACCTTCACGGGCACCTTGAGGCGATAGTGAGTTGAGAGAAAGAACAAAATGAGAGAGGCTTGATGGTGAAAACCCTTCGGGCACTACAAGTCGAATAAGGATTGTGAATCAAATTGGATAAGCGGAGCATTGAGGTCCAGTTTCACGGCAAAAAGGTACGACAAGAGCTGAACATCAAATTTGCTTAACAGAATAGGCCGCAGGTGCATGTCATGGTCATTAGAGTTGGTATCCACATCCGATAGGTTTCTACTTTGTAGTTTTCTTGTTAGGAATCATCTCTTTCTATTTTCCACTACTTTGTTCCTTTTGTCTTGTTTACTTCCTCTTCCGGAGTCTGTTTGGTCAGAACAAGTGAGAAATAACTTCAAAATTTTCCACCAGCTTTCCAATTGTACAAACGGGATCTGGTTAGCACATCAAAGTGTCATAAGTCCGGAAAGAACAACAAGCGCACTGAGCTGGTAACAATCAACATGCTTTGGGATTCGTGTGAAATACAAAGGCTTGGTATATATCAATGCATGGACAATGCAATAGAAGGAGGGCTGGGGTGAGCGGATCAAATGTATTTTCTGAGATAAGATTGACAAAAAGGGTGGTAAACAAGTGACCAGCAAGATCTTCCAAGCAGAAATCAAAGTTATCATAGCAAGTGAAGGAGCAACAGACCTCAAGGCCAAGGCCAGTGGTTTAAGTCACGAAGGAACAACATATGCACCGAGTGGGTGGCATTTGACGTGCTTTGAGATTCATGTAAAACACAAAGGTTTGGTAAATGTTGGTGTATGAGCAATGCAACAGATAGTGGATATTGGGTTTGAACGGAGAAGAGGTATTTTCTGTGATAAGATTGACAAAAAGGGTGGTAAACCAGTGACAAGCAAGATCCTCCAAGCAGAAATCAAAGTTATCACGGCAAGTGATGGAGAAATAGACCTCAAGGCCAAGGCCAGTGGTTTGAGTCAAGAAAGAACATCATACACACTGAGGGGGGTGGCAATTGATGTGCTTTGGGGTTCATGTGAGATACAAAGGTTGGTAAATGTCAGTTCATGAGCAATGCAACAGATAGAGGGTATTGGGTCCGAACGGAGAAGAGGTATTTTCTGTATTAAGGGTAACAAAGAAAGTGGTTAGTCAATAAACAAGCAAGGTCTTCGAGTGGGAATCAGTTATCATGGCAAGTAAAGGCACAATAGACCTCAAGGCCTGAGCCAATGGTTTAAGTCAAGAAAGAACATCATGCGCAATGAGTGGGTGGCAATTGTCGTGCTTTGATACTCATGTGAAACACAAGGGCTTGGTAAATGCCAGGTCATGAGCAATGCAACAGATAGGGGGTATTGGGTCTGAACGGAGAAGAGGTATTCTCAGTGATAAGGATGACAGAGAAAGTGGTTAGTCAATAAACTAGCAAGGTCTTCGGTGGAAATCAAAGCGATCATGGGAAGTGAAGGAGCAATCGCCCTCAAAGTCATGGCCACAGACCAACCACCATATTTTTAAAACTGACAAAAAATTTCTTTGATTGAAATAGGGGCAGAAAATTTCGTTTGTTTCGGAGAAACCCTCCGTAGGGGAAGAGCAAGCACCAGACAGGTTTGTCGGTAAATTTTCAAGACCCTCCTGGAAAATGGGACCTAGTTTAAAATTCAAAACTATCATGAGTAGCAAGATCTAGCACAAATGTACCCCAAAGAAGTATAAGTTGGTTTCAAAGTTTTCGTTCTTAAGATAGGATTCAATTAGGAGTTGTCAGGACCCTCCTGAATAATGGGACCTAGCTTTAAGATTTCCACTAGATAACAAGATGTAGCGTAAGTTCTTTTGTAAGAGAATATAATTCAGCCATAAAATTGTCACTCTTAAGATAAGACTTTATTTTTGATTTTCAGGACCCTCCTGAAAAATGGGACTTAGATTAAATTTCAAAACAATCATGAGTAGCAAGATCTAGCATAAATGTACCCCAAAGGGATATAAGTTGGTTTCAAAGTTTGCATGTTTGAGATAGGATTCAATTAGGAGTTTTCAGGACCCTCCTGGAAAATGGGACCTAGTTTAAAATTAAAAACAACCGTGAGTAGCAAAATCTAGCATAAATGTACCCCCAAAGGAATATAAGTCGGCTTCAAAGTTCTCACGCTTGAGATAGGATTCAATTACGAGTTTTCAGGGCCCTCCTGGATAATGGGATGTAGTTTTAAGACTTTCTTAGATAACAAGATTTAGCGGAAGTCACACCTTTAGAAGATATAATTTAGCTTTAAGAACTGTCATTGGGATCTAGCTTTCAAATTCTTAGTGATATTTGGTAACATGATTCAGTTAACACTCACAGATGTGCCCAGCCACCAAACTAGGGCAGAAAATTTTCTTTCTATTTGTTGAAATCAGGCGCCCACCTGGAGAACAAGGGAGTACAGTTCAAGTTTTTGGCAATCAGGCGTCCACCTGGAGAACAAGGGAATACAGTTCAAGTTTTGGCAATCAGGCGCCCCACCTGGAGAACAAGGGAATACAGTTCAAGTTTTTGGCAATCAGGGGCCTACCTGGAGAACAAGGGAATACAGTTCAAGTTTTCAGAAATCAGGCGCCCACCTGGAGAACAAGGGAATACAGTTCAAGTTTTTGGCAATCAGGCGCCCACCTGGAGAACAAGGGAATACAACTCAAGTTTTGGAAATCAGGTGCCCACCTGGAAAACAAGGGAATACAATTCAAGCTTTGGAAATCAGGCGCCCACCTGGAGAACAAGGGAATACAATTCGAGTTTTGGTAATCAGGCGCCCACCTGGAGAACAAGGGAATACAATTCAAGTTTCGGTAATCAGGCACCCACCTGGAGAACAAGGGAACACAATTCAAGTTTTGGTAATCAGGAACCCACCCGGAAAACAAGGGAATGCAGTTCAAGTTTTGTCAATTAGGCACCCACCTGGAGAACAAGGGAATACANGTAGATTGTCAGATTTCAGGTCACGATGTATCAGATTCAGGCCATGTACATATTCCATCCCCCTTGCCACGTCTAATGCCTGCTTCACCGCTAACTTCAAGGGCACTGATCGATTTTGTCTCCTGGCCAGAAACTGACGCACAGATCCCCCTTTTGCATATTCAGTCACAATACACCAGACCATAGGTTTACGGCATCCACCAATAAAACGCACTATGTTTGGATGCTTCAACCTTGCCAACATCATGACTTCCTGCTGAAATGCCTGCTCCATCAACTGAGCTCTCTCAAGATCATTTTCTGGCCGCTCTAGAAGCTTGATAGCAACATCCTCACCATTGTATGTTCCCTTGTAGAGTTTCCCAAAAGCTCCCTGAGCAAAAGCAGGACCCATGTTTAGCTTCCTCAAATCAATTGTCCACTCATCATAATTCTCAAGCCCGTCAGTAGGAAATCGAGGATCCATCAAAGCTTGAGCTAGGGCATCATCACTCAACCCTTGAGAAACTCTCCCCCTATTTACACTAGCTGCCGCGGTATAGTTATTGCGGACGCGCTTGAGGCCCTGGTGGTTTAAAATACGTGTGTGGGAACCATTTGATCCAACACTGCTGTTATCCGTTGACATCGCAACCGAACCTCCACCAATGCTCATTTGCAAGCTCCCATAACTGTCGATTGACATGTTTGAGCCCTCACCAAGCTTATGGTAAAAACTTTGAGTGATGCCATAATTATCATGGTTCTCATTTAAGTCGATAAGTCCTGCGAACTTTGGAGCCTCCAACATTTTCTCTGATAAATGTACTGCAGTACAAAAGCTTCAAGTCTAGCTTATTTATACTGCATGAAGACTGGCATAGTCAAACTTCACTCTCCATCCTGTGAAAAAAATATGAAAAAGATAGAAGATCATTTTTTGAAAACCCCAAAAGAAAAAAAGGGATGTATGGCTGAGGGGAGGAGAGAAAGAACGCATGCATGGAGACTCTGTCTGTCGGAGGTTCGAGAATCTATGAAAGGACATCTAAGGCTAAGGTTACGAAGTAAAGGAAGTCCATTACTGAGAGAGGTGATGATCTCGTCTTGCTTGCTGGGAGAGAGGAAGCTTCCGGACCATCTTTTCCAGCCAGATAGCGAGCGATCACTCAGCAATGAACACTAACTGAAAGCGGCCGGGAATGAGAATTCAGAAAACCCTCCTCTCCCACTTCTTAACCCATAATGCAATTACCAGTAGATTAAGGGACAATAACTACACAAAGATTAATATTTCAAACTTAATGACATTAAAGAGTCAATCGATCATTCCAAATTACTGGGGGACGAATACATGAATCTTCTTTACCCATTAAGCTCTACTCACCTCCATTTTACGCAAATACTAAACGAGTCGTCTTTTAACGCAAATTAGAGCTTCTTTAAAACCAGGATCCTCCAAATATTTCACTTATGCTTACACAAACATGCAAGTCCCCAACACAATTACGCAAACACCACACAAAATATAAGTGTAAAACAAACAACTAAACCTCTATAACAACTACTCCCTCTGTCCCAATTTATGTGATATTGTTTGACTGAACACATAGTTTAAGAAAGAAAGAACGAAAACTTACTAGATCTTGTTTTCTAAAACAAACCATAAACATTTGCATGACTATAATCATTTCATAGAAGGTAAAATAAAGTTAAATTATTTCTAAATACAGAGGTCTCATTCTTTTCGGGACAGACTCAAAAGGAAAGTGCATCACATAAATTGGTACAAATGAAATAGCTCCTATAGGGATCATTTTCTTCTTAGCTGAGGCTGCATTTATTCTAAGATATCTATCCCTCTTCGCTACCCAGGGAGAGAAAAAGTAATTTTCACTATATTTAATGCTAAATCGCTCAGAGGTGAAGATAAATAATCAACCATAAAACTTTCTTAAAACATACAAACACAAAAGATAAATCATCAAGTACATAAAAATCTATTTGAAAAACTAAAAATAATTAAAAGCACACATTTTCCCCTCTGCAATTTTCTTCCAGGGCTAGGGGTTAAATTGTAATTTCCCAAAAACGCGTCCATTTCTTTTTCCAGCTATAACTCTCCTATACAGATGTTATTTTAACTATAAGCATCAAAAGAATAGCTCTGCCCCATCTCAAAATTAACAAAAAAATAAACAAGCATAAAATCCCCATTAAGAAAAAAAAGTAAAACAAAAGAACTCAAATTTTCAATTAAATTTGGCGATCTGAGAGTAAAGTCAAGGAGCAAATGATAAATTTACCTTTATCAAAGAGGAGCTTGACTTTGCAAAACTTACTGTTCCAACTCCTAACAACCGATCGATTCTGAAGCTGTACACAAACTCCACCAAGCGCAGCTCCACCGAGTTGAACCCACCCACCTCCACCGGCAGAACGTACAGAGAAGTAGTAGTAGTAGTAGATTAAAGAAGAAAAAGAACGCAGAGAAAATACACACACAGAGTGATGAATGAATGAATATTGCCTCTGTATAGTCTTCGTCTCTCTTTTCTCCCTTTTCTCGGACGGAGTGGGGGGAAGACCTATTGTATAGTCGCTCGTATTATCAACCGAATATGTTGTGTGGGGTTGGAAATAATGTGTCCATAGAAATAACAAATATATATTTGAGTCCCTTTTGGATTCGCTTGTTTTAAGTGCTTTTAAGCTATTTTATAGTATTTGGATAAAATAAAAAAGTGCTTTTAAACACTTATTTTTAAGCTAAAATGACAAAAACAAGCCAAAAGTCAAAAGTTAGAATTCCTAACTTTTGGCTTAAGAGCTATTTTGACTTAAAAGTCACTTAAAACAAGCCCATCCAAACGGGCTCTTTGACTGCTATGACTTTTGTGCTTACTATATATTTTGGAGAATAAGTATAGAAATAGAGATTTGAATTTAAAAAGGATTACGAAATTAAGGAAAAATTCCACCTTAGTTTTAAATTTAAATTTCGTATCATTTTATTTGGACATATTTTTACCATTATAATTACAAACTACAAACAAATATTATTTAGCTGTATATTAACTTGATAATATTGTCTACCATTCAAGTTGAAATTAAAGGGTAAATAATACTACGCGAATCTAACCATAATCACTTTTGATCAATCTTCAAATGCTATTCTCTCGATCCAATTTTAGATAGTGATGGAGAAGGATTTAATATAGTTTTATCTCCAAATAAATTCATCCTCGTCCAATTCAATTTTGTACTATATTAGTCTATTCATTCTATTACCTACAATATCTCATGCGGTGTCACGCTCCCCGATCTTGATAGACATACATGACACTCGGTGCCTTAACTGTGACTGGATAAGCCAGTCGCTCTTTGGCCTAGGGGAAATAAACTCTGTATCGGGACCCTTTTGTGTATTCGAGTAAACTAACTTACCACGTAAAAAGGAACATTATAATGCATAACTACAGAAAGTTAAATCATTTCTCGAAACTTTTAATAATTTAAAAAGTCGTCGTCTAAAAATAGAATAATTATTCATACATGACATATGAGACCTACCAGAATGACAAAAGCATAACATAACTCACTATATCTATGGAGCCTCCATGACATTACGAATAAAAATAATATCGTTGATAGCGCCCCAGTATTAGCTAAAAAGATGTAACTATCTGGAGAAAAAAAATGCTCCGACCACGATATAGGGCTTACTGGCAAATAGGATGAGTGAGGCGCATCAACAAGTGACCGGTCTATCCAGAGTGTCAAAAAATGTATCCATAAACAGATATAGCGCCCTCGGCAAGAAGGGACATAAGTACATGGAGAAAAGTACTTGTATGAACTGCAAGCTCCCGTACCTAGGATTGGGGGTTGTCACGACCCAAAAATTCCACCAAAGATCGTGATGGAACCTAACCTTAAAGACTAGGTAAGCCAACATTCAATATAGATCCTGTGAGCACGTGATTTTTGCCCTATATGAATTACTCCCACAAATTCAAAACAAAATAATTTTTTTCCATTGTTCGCAATTTTGTGGATTTTTGTGATATTTTCTGTCAATTGTTTGTATTTGTCTGTGCATGTTTAATTTTTATTTAATTCATAAAAATACAAAAATATGTTGCATTTGCATTTAGGATCTAATTTTTATATTTTTAGGATAATTAGTTAATTAGTGTTACAAAATGGAAGAAAATCACAAAAATAGTTCATTTTGCATTTTTAACTTTTTAATTTTCGAGTTGCTATAGTTTTCTCTTAAGTTAGGACTTAATTAATTTTTAAGAAGCAATTAGTTTATTAATTTAATTTTAGAATTAACTCAGGTTTTATTTTGTAATTTGGAAATTAATAAAAAAAATAATAAAAAATCTGAAAATGAAAAAACAAAAAAAGAAAGAAGAAAGGAAGAGCTTTAAATAAAAGAGACCATTTTTTGGGCCAGCCCAGACCTTCAGACCCGTCCAACCCTTCCATACCCGGCCCAAGATCCATCAAAAAACCGGTCCAGAACCCCCTCTAACCAAACGACCCCGTTTTGGGCATATTTAATCGCGACCGTTGGATCTCCCTAATCCAACGGTCCGGAACTGGGATGTCTATTAATATAAATATGTCCAAACGCCCCTACCTCCCCCCCACCCATCGTCTCACAACCACCCTCAGAGAACCCAACGTAACGCCACCCTTGGGCCACCGTCCGCCGCCCGCCGGAAATCGCCCACGGCGGCGGCCGGCGGCCAATCGCGCCCAAAATTACACTACCACCTCTCCTTGACCCCCTCTTCCCAAATATACAAACATCTTCCCTCAAATCCAGCTAGAATTCCTCGAATATCCGATCAAAACTCCAAACCCTAGCCAGCCGCCTTAGAACCCCGATTTTTCCAGTGGCGGCGCCACCACAAAACGATCCCAAATTAACACCAAATGACTACCAGGCCTCCCTCATCCCAAATCCATCATTCCCTGCCCTCGAATATCCCAAGAACCCGTCGAATATTAATTTGAAGTCGAGGTTTTAAAGTGTCAAGGTCAGGAGTCGGGCCGATTAGGACCAAAACGGACCTTGGTCATGTGTTTTCATTTGAGAACACATGATCGAGGCCCTTTTTGGTCAGAATCATGAATTTAAAGAAGAATTGCAATGTTGGCTCTCCTTTTAGGTATTTCCTTTCATTTTTCTTGTTTTGCATGTTTTCCTTTTTCATTTTTGATTTCATTTTTATTATTTCGTTGATGCACCTGTTCATCGTCTCTTCATCTGTTTCATCAAAATTGCCCATGCATGTGTTCTTTTATCCAGGCTAGTCGTGAACTGGCCTTTCCTTTAATTTGTTTTAGTTTGTTTGGTTGTCTTTTAACTCCGGTCTAAAGGGACTAGTTAATTCAGAGGTCTTCTTTGATTTCAAAGTATTTTGGTCATTTTTTTTAAAGGTTTGCGCTAAAATTCTATCATTTGTTTGGTTTTGGGCTTTGAAATCCAGACTCGTTTTTAAAACCCGAAGAAAGGGATTAATATAATTTGGTTAAAGGCCCATGTCTGGTTTGCCTTGGGTCAATTCGACCCAGGTTGGTCTATCATGGTTGTTAGGGTAATTAACAAAACCTTAAAGGGTATTTTTGGGTAGCTGGTTTAGGAGAATGTTGCTACAACTGACTAGGAAGCTTCCGGGAAAGGGGAAAGGGGGGTATTTCAGCAAATAGGGTTTAAACCTAGGGTGTGATTTGAACAAAAAGAAAATTGGGGAAGGGGTAATTGGCAAACTAGGAACTCACTTCTGCAGCCCTAGGGTCCTCTATATAAGGTTGTCTTAGTAAAAATGATAGGGGGGATCAGATCTAGAGAATTAAAAACGGCTGAAAATTCCAATACAATTACTGTTCCATTGCATTTCATCTGTGATTTTTAAGGTCTTCAATTTCTGAAACAAATTCTGATTCACCTGGGGTTGGAAATGGATTGAGTTTGGTTAAAAGTTTTGTTCAAAGTTTGCTGGGCTCTTGTTCGATTGAAATTGTTTTCTTTTGGATTACTGCACATCATTTCTGGGTTGGAAGTTGATTGCACCGGTTATTTCTGCTGCTTCCTTATACTAAATTACTGCCGATCCTTCACCTTCTATTTCTTTCCATCTCCAGGTACCCTTTCTGAAACTATGGTTGGAGATTGAGTTTGGTTGTTAAGTCTTATGTTAAGGTTTATGAACCAAATTGAAGTTGAATGAAACACACTAATTTTATATTGTGATTGTTGCTGCCTTTGCCATATTACTTTCCCTGATTTAGTCTAGCTTGCTTTGGATGTCCCATTCATATGCACTTAGTATCAGATGTTGGATTTGAATTAGTTTGAATGTAACAGGTTCAAAAGTGCTTTAGATGAAACTTGTAATAATTAAGGACTCTGATGTTGTAGTTAGATTACTGGAAATTATTTGGTCTTTGGTTTGTGTTTGTTATAGCAATCAGTTAAATGTATGTTCACCCAGAATAATTCGTCTCATGAATCTAGTGTCACTTTGTTTTCCTAGTAATTCTGGTCAAGTTTGCATCCATATGGTCTGAGACATGGTTCTGTGTTTTTCATAATCTATCACTGGTTCTCCTTTCATGTGTGTTTTGAGTTCTTTTTCGGATCTGTGAAAAAGGAGTTTTAAAGTGGAGTGAATCTGATTTCAGACATTGCAAGTCCCAGGCCTAAGCTTGGTTTTATTTCATTTTCTTTAAAAATTGTGAACCATGTATGATCTAGCTAAACTTATTGGTTGGAGTCAAACATTGCATAAGTTTATGATTGTTGAGTTTTGATATCAAAAGGTGTGAATGTTCTGTAATTTGGAAGTCGGAGCTCAGTAGTTCACAACGTGAAAAGTTATGAGAACTATGGTTATTTTTCATTACTGTTCGAGCAGGTTTTCTTTATTTTTGGTCATAGGTTTGTCATCTTTCGTTGGTTTAAAGTTCTAGCAAGAATTTGTTTGTTTCTTTTAATCCATAGACAATAATAGTTTTCCTGTTTCTTGGCTATTTGTCTTAAAATAATTTAGTTATATTCACTGGTGTAGTTTTATAAGAAAGTTAGTTCCATGAATTATCAAAACGTGATTCTCTCGTTGTCATTATTTGCTTAATACAATTTAAAGAAGGAAAAATCCATGCTAGAGTAACTCAAGGTGCAAAAGGCAGTAGTGTATAAGGGAATTGGACCATACGAACCGTTTTGTGTCATGAAACAATTTTGATGTTAAGGAAGAACGGGCCAAGAAATTGTCTGACCGTAAAACTAGAAAGTCGGGGCTTTAGGAATCTTTTGATCGGATATTTTAAGGACTATGGCACATGATCATAAAATTCATAAGCTAGCTTTTATAGAAATTTGAGGTGCGCCACCCAATAAAATTAGACAACCAGTGGCCCTCGCTTAATTAATCTTGTTCAACCCTTAGAATTCGAGGCGTGCCATTTAGTAAATTTTTCATGGCCCTCGCAAAGTTGCAAGTGCGTAGTTGCTTTAGGCGCGCTATTTTAAAAGTTACCTTCCTAAACTCGGGTGTGCATTTATATAACCCAAATCCGAATTTCAACAACGTTAGATAAAATATGTCGTGGACCGCGGGTGCA